TTACTAAGAACTCACACTGTATTTTCAATGAGGACTTGGAGCAATACTGCAGGGCACCCCACATACTGTATGAGACCCGAGGGCTCTTACTGCCTGTGGCTTCAGAGAAAACTAATAGAAATCCTAACAGAAACCTACGCTTTTAGCTTTCAGATTGACTGATTAGCACTGAATACTTGACTAACTAATTTTTGGAGCTGGAGAATTTATGTTTAGTGCCTTCTATTACAAGTCAATTCTGGTTCAAAATAGCAGATAATATCCATAACCCGGAGCAAGCAGCAATTGCACAAATCTGGTTGATGTTACAAATGTTAGTACAACAAATGTTAGTATCAAACTAACTTGTCTTGGTTACAAATAGTTTGTCCTGTGGTTCAGCTGTATTCAATCATGCTCAGAAGACCCCCAGACATTTCTGTCAAAGGGAAGGTGCCAGGGGTGTTCCTTCTGCATTGCAAAGGAAGGGAAATGTCTGAAATGTGTCACCCTCTCTCACCTTCTCCACATGTGTAACATTCTGCCCAGCAGCAATAAAGCAGCTCTGCTCCAGTCAGGAGACCACTGCTCAGTTTGGACAGCAGCAGATTGCTCACCACCACCAAAGAAGCCTTTGTTTCTGGATGAGGAAGACAGGGAAGCTGTCAATCACAGCTTTTAGGGACACCATTTCCATAGTCACTACATCAGCTGTTTAAGACTCGATGATCACATTGGCAAGGATTAGACATCACGGTAACACACAGTCTGGTCCACCAAGTAACAAAGAGCACACTTACCCAGGAGGACTACAGCACAGGAGGATTCATTCACACGACCTTTCTTCCTTCTTGGGAAGGAAGTTCAAACCTTCTTGGTTTGAACTTGGAAGCCCTGTGCAGTTCTTTCCATCCCCAACACTCATGCAAATTTTCAAAGGCCATCTTGAAGCTAACATTAGGTTAAAGATTGCAAGTGCCTGCCTGCAGTATATTTAAAATGCTCTTACTTCAAACCACAAGATTTTCCTCCCTTTTTGATAATAATTTCAAAATTGAACTTCCATCTGCTGAAATAGGTCAGATTAATTAATGGAGCAGATTTCCTTTCATCTGAAGAATAGCAAACCATTGAAATCATGGGCAAAATACTGACAGACAATTACGACTTGCATATTTGTACACGTTGTATTCATTTGGACGTCAGTGGGGAAATAACTCTCTCAAACTATCTTACAATAATGATTTTAGCTTGTTAAATACATAAGACATAGATGCCATAACATACCTTTAAGAACTAGCCATGAACAATCCATGTTCATCTGCAAATGCTTAAATGTTTAAATGTTTAAAATGTTTAGCTTGTGTTTTTTCCCTCCTTTTCTTTTTTCCTTTAATAACAATCTCATGCTAAAAGCCTGCCACTTTCTGTTGGAGAAAGTCAATTCCAAGGAAAAAAATCCACTGTAAACATAAACCTAATCTCCCTGTCCCCCCAGTTTTTCTGTCTACAGCTGTGTCTACATTTTGCACAATGACCTGAAAAAACATACAAATCAAGAGAAAGAGATACTTATTAGAATTATGACTTTTATTTTTATTTACTAGAGCAACATTGAGGAAAGAATTTTTACATACAGTTTTTTTAATCAACTTTACAAGCAAATTCCAATATACAGTATTTACTCTGGCCTGGGTTAAAAAAACCAAAAACAACAAAGCAGATAGTAAGGGAACCTCTTGTTTTAGCTAGTATTGAATTGAAGATTTTGCTACACAGGAATTATGTTGGTTTTATGGTGGTGCTTTTACAATTAAGTAGGCAGTGAGCAGCTTTACTAGAACAGTAACTGAAATTCCTTGATAGCAGTTTTAAGATGACTATACTGAGCCCTACCACCAGGGTCGTATTAAATCCACTCTGCTCAGAAAATACCTCTGTAACGAGATAAGGAACAGCTACAGAAGCCCGATTCAAGAACTGATTTCCATTTGTACGGCAAGAAAATTTCCATATTAAGAGGATTATGTGCTGTGCAAAACCAGAAATATTCCCCCCCCAACATGCAACCTACCCCAGTATGACACTTTAGAATGTGCACATGGCTGTGACATGCAAACAAAGGCAATCACGCAAATGGTATTCAGTTTTCAGGCATCCTTACAACAAATCAGCATTTAGATCAAGGATGAAATGAACTGTACTGACTTATGATGCAGTCTAGTTGCTATGCCTACTCTCACTGCTACAAGATGGAAAGTTGAGGAACCCCTTTTTTTTCTGGAACTGTAGCAAAATTATGTCGTTTTGGATTTTCAGGGCCTTCGTAATTATTTCGAGAAAGTTGGAGAGATAATATTGCACTTCTTTTCTCAAAATCGTATTCTGGGACCATCATTCTTTAAGATCTATGCTAGTACTAGGGAAACTTTGCCATTGGCTTTGATTGGCAGTAGGAAGTGCTAGCTTCAGGGAAGGAGAAGGTAACAATGATCTGGCTGTATCATCAGTGTTAGAATTCCACGGTTAAATTAAAGTCATTGCACAACAAAAACTCTGTACACTATATGAATACTTCTAAACATGCTAGAGTGCATATCTATCCTGTGAAAGTGATGTGAAAATACCTTGGAAACAGCAACACTACCGGGAAAATTTGTTTCAAACAAAAGCCACACACAGCAGGAGGCATCTAGATTATTTTAGGCACAACTCCAGCAATAAAGCTCATTTAAAGTGCAATTCTGTTCTTTTCTTTTGTTTATTCACTTGTTAAAACGTGTATACTGAACAGTAGTTTAATACTTTTGTGAATATTGCACAAAAGAATGAGAAATCAAAACCAAAAAAAATGGCAAAAAAATCAGTTTTATAAACGTAAAAAAAAAAACCCTGAATACTTAAATGTACACATTTTGGATAATCTGCACCAGCACTGATGATATAATCTGCACCTTCCATAAGGTAGGTATGATACCTGAAAATACTCACTTAATCCCATTTGACAAGCACTCTCAGTGCCCTCTCATCCATCACTCCCTAAACCCCATCTTTCTGCGAGGTGAAGCTTCAAACCTCACTTCACCACTTCTCTCCCAGCTGCCCATCTCCTGACAGGCTTTGCCATACTCTGGACTTACTATACATGCAACAGAGCCTTCCCTGGTAAAGTCTGAAGAGCCCAAACATGCAGGTGTCTTAGAGGGATGCAAGGTTAGCAGCTGAACACAAACACAAGCCAGGCTAGCATCTGTCTCATCCATGATCAAATCCTGCTGGCTCCAGCTCAGTGTCTCACTAACCTGTCAGAACAAAACGGGGAAATGCTATAAAAAGACTATAATCTACTTATGTTCCTTTAATACATATATATATGCTCATATAAATATAACCTTTTCTTCTGGAAAGAAAAATTAGGAACTGACTTTTTAATGAAAACCTTGATCATCTCTATATTCTTTGCTTAGTTTGCTTTGATCATCTCTTTAATTTTCAGTAAAGGTGCAGATATGAATAAAGGTATAGATATCTATACTTTTAAATGTAAACATGAAAATTGAAACATCACTAAATCAGGCTGGCGATACCTCCAGAATAAGAAGCAGAAGATGATGAATTTCTGTCAATAACATCAGGTGAAAATTGTATTTTTACACAAAATATACAACTAACAATAAAATCAGCTTCTCCTCAAGGAAAGTAAACTTAAAAAACACACCTTCCATAGAAATCTACATGGACCGGAAAATGAACCAGGAATCTGATCACTCTCAGCAGTCTTTAAACTCCTGAGAAACACAGTTAGCTGCCAGGAGCTGGTTTTGGGGAACATAAAAAGTGAGTTTTATTTTCTTATTGAAAGTAAATACTTACACTAAATACCACTAATTCAATGCTTTTCATGGAAATAAATTATTACCAGAGCACAATTGTTACTGCAATCTCAAGTTGTGATTCTGATCCTATACCAACTATAACAATTAATGTTATTTGTTATGTTTTGCTTACTTGCTTATTGTCATCACCTCAGTTCACAGAAAGTCTGGCAGGTCCCTTATTTCAGACTGATATAAGTAGTTCAGATAAAGAATTTCCCCCTACCCATTTCCTCCATCAAGCTTTTCATTTTTCCACTTAATCTTCAGTTAAATAAAATTATAGTGTAAGAAATGCAAAATAATTATTGAATACCAATGATGTACTGAAAACTCAAGTGAGAAGATACCTTTTTCCTTCACACAACTGAGGTATCCATCAGGACACCCCCAGTTAAAGGGCATATATTATAGGAGCTGAATGTTGAATTCATTTATGAAATGTCTACACCTACTCACTTTAATTCTCTCAAAGAAAATACTGCAATATATCAATGTCCTACAGCCAGAGCCTAGAACAAACTAACACTGTTACATTTTACTGACATTATGTGCTCTTCAGGAACAGATTTTGAGCCAAGTTGTTGCAGCAGCCTTCTGCAGCTGATTTTAAAACCAACTCAAGAACAGGAAAAAAAAAAACCCAACCAGTAACATCCAAGAGAGTCATGGGAAAGATGGGAAGAATTAGAGATGGGACATAGCATCAAATTTCTGGAAAGCTTCACTGGATGTGCGCACATGTAACTCGCATCATTCGTGTCGTGGTCCCAGAGTGCACCAAGACTACTTTCAGAAGACAGTACTTCTCCTAGAGAGCGCAAAAACATAGATTGCTTTTTTTTTTCTGCCCAATTTCCCCAAAAAGCTCCTTACCAGTTATCAAGCACTTCTTCAGAAATTACCAAAAAACAAAAACAAAACAAACAAACAAAAAAAAAAAAAAAACTACAAAAAAAACCCCAAACAAACAAAGAAAAAAACTCTCAAAATAACACATCTTCAAAAAAACTCTTAAGAGTACCAGCTCTGGATTAGGACATAATAGGATTGCTTAAAGCAAATAAGTGGGGTTAATTTTTTAACTTTTTAAAAAATAGTTGCATTTTTTATATAACTTTTATTCTGTAAAATAGTTTCAAATTCTTACACATATGGCAAAGTTTGTGCAAAATTTCAAGTCAGGTACTTCAGAGCCTTTCAATATTAAACAGAAATCAATAAATACAAGCAGAACAATAAAAGTTTAAAATATTAATTAAAATGCATGTTGTGCAACCTCAACATAGGTGTTCTGGACCCCTTATTCCCAGAGGCTCCCTACTTACCAATTCCTAAGAGCCTGCATTGGAAGGTTTGGACAAACATCCTTAGCACTGCATTTCATGAATCTACCCGGTAATGTGTCTATTCAACACAATAAAAACATACCACAATCATTTAACAAATGAGGATGTTTAAGCGAGAAGATTCATTTCACCCTGTGAAATCTGCCTAATGTCTGTGAACAGTGAAAACGGGATAAATAAAGAACAGAGCAACTTCAGGTTACAGCAAAACAAAACAACACAACCCATCCAACCCATCAGATTAAATAACATTAAATATGTCAGTCTTGAGAGAATTATAAATACAAGGATTTTTGCATAGGCCTCTGGAATACAGAGTCAGAATTATGGCCAATAAAACATCTGCTAGTCAGTCTAATTTTCTACCACTCTGACCTAACGAGTACTCAGAACCAAGAAGTTAAACAGAACAGCAATTTCATTGTCTAATAACTCAAACAGAGGTAAGAAATAATTTCTGCCATCCTGAAATAAATAGTGCAGCATTCTGGCATTTGTGGTCACCACAGACTTCAGTATTTGCTTAATTACTAGGATTGAAATACCATCTTTATTAAAGACTGACAATAAAATAAAGCACTCTCAAGAGAAACTGCACAGCTCGTAACAGCAGCCTGAGAACACGGCAGGATGGAGAATGCAAACCCTAAGGAAGATGTAACTCGGAACAGTGACTCGGGCTTTGCAGGCTGCAGGTACAGCAGGCTCCGAGGCAGTCACAACACGGCAAGTGGGATACGGAGTGGCATAGTGCAGTGACATGTGGGAACAGCCTCAGTGTGTCTTTGGTTTTGGGAGGCGGGAATGCCGAGCGGAGGGCATGCTGTCCCCGGAATGCAAACCAGCGGAGCGTGTCTGCACATTTTCCTTTCTCTGGACTGGTGGCCTTGGGATGTTAGACTTTAGGGAGGCGATCTGAGTCTCTGGAGGTACCGGCGTGGATTTCTGACTGCTCACTTGCTTGGATTTAGCAAAGGACGTAGTTGGTGGGCGAAGCTTTGACACTTTCTGACTCTGTTTACCCTTTAGGCTATCCTGCCCAGATGTTGGCTGTGGCTGAGTCGAACTACTCAGTGGTAGAAGCTCATGTTCCTTGGAAGTAGCGGAATGACCTGCAGATCGTACAGGAACGGCCATGGTAGGAGGCACTAAAGCAGTTGGGGGTTTCGCGATTCTTGAAGTCTTTGGCTGAGAAGCCTGGTTTGTGAATGAGGGTTGACCTTTCACAGGTAATCCAGTCTGCATCTCTGGAGCATCAGCTCGTGTAGAGGTCTGAAAGTGGGAACGAGGTGGTAATGTACCTTTCTTATTACTAGCCACCTCTCCAGGGTCCTCAGTGTTTTTGTTTTTCAAATTGTCCAAATACGATGCATTTTCATCTTTTGTGTTTAACTGTACGCTCATTAAAGAGTTTATGTCATCCGGGCTATTTGGGAGAGAGACATTTGCAGCATTTGGATTCTGATTCTGATTATTTCTATTGTCATGCAGATCTGGTTGTGGATATTCACTGTGGGCCTCGATATGTGGAGTTCTTGTTAGTTTTCCCTGGGCGAGGTCTGTGGAATTGGGAAGGCTGCTGGAAGGCTGTAGTACTTGAGGCTGTTGAAGAGAAAATAATACAAGAATATATTAGGCAGAGAAGACACCAGATATGCTCAGAATCCAACGTGAGCTGACTGGATGCTTGATAAGGGCTGTATATCTGGGATTTTAAATCAAAACTTTGACGAAACAGGATGGGGTCATGGGACTTGCACAAATGGAACTTGTAACTGAAGTGGAAAAAAAATAGACCAGCACTGAATTAACAACATAAAGACAAAAAAGAAACCGACCGGCTTAAAAAGGAAACATGAAGAAGGCATGGCTGATGGTTTCACCCAAATCTGCAGGGCAGCACAAGAATTAACGTCGGTGCAGATCAATTCTAATGAAGTGCTTAACCCAACACAACAGCTGTGTCCAGCTTGGATTTCTACTCACTGCATACTGACCTCAGCTACCCCAACCATTTTACTGCACTAGCAGGAAAGGAGTTGGATGGACCACATGAACTTACAGGACATTTCCTTGCCTTACTGAGGCCAGAAAATCAGGCAGCAGTATGTGCTCATCAGTCTACTGACTAAGCTTAGGTAACTGTTCTATCTTGAACTGATTTCAAATCAGCTGATAAAGAAAGAGTTCATGTCAAAGTAGAGACCACACTCTACCACACTGATAACCATGGGATAAAGAGAAATGTAGAAGATTTTACATTTTATCAGAAGATAGAATCTAATCAGACACACATCAGACAAGGAAGTTGCCAGTACCTCTTCTGGGTAATTTCTATTCTCATTGCTCTGCCCTGTAAAGAGACTTAAAAGATTAATGGTGTACTAGCTTCACAATACATCCTAGACCTGCAACTTGGATACAGATCTCGGAAACATTACGAAAAATTCTGCAATTCATGGCAAAACCCAAAATCTATTAAAACCTAAACTACAGTTTTATCAGGTTTGGATTTTTTCTCAATTTCTTTACAAAGGACAGGAACTGAATTCCTACAAACTAGTCATCACTCAACTACCTGGATTCTAACCACCTGACAGGTTGCATGTACACAGTGAACAGGCTTACTCTGTTTACTACTGATTTAGAGTAAATTAAAAAGAAGCAATGTTCGTGTTTGGGAGATTAGACTAAAAGTGTCATTTTAGTCACTCTCCTGAATTATTCACAAGTTCTAAAGAGAAAACCCATTATTTGTCTGGTATTTTTAGCTCTTCTTTGAGTCAACAGGAAGAATGCAATGACAGCTGTGCATGCCAGATTCCTGTTACACATTTAGGGCCACAGCCCATCTCAGGACTCTTTAGGCTTTTCATCTTTTCCCTGGCAGGATTACTACAGAAAACTGAATTCTCAAAATTCCTCACCAAGAAAGAAGATTTAACGGTTAATGAGAAGGAAGTCAAGGTTTCTCAGTCTATTTTTTATTTTAGAGCAGTTTTTCCCTTTAGAATATAACAGTTGTATTGTAAGGAAAGGCAAAATCCAGACCAGTGAAATCAGCTATCAGTGACAGACATGAAAGGCAAATATCCTGAGTAGTCAGAACATGACTGTTATGGAAAGAGGGAAAAGATTTAAAAAAGGCACAGAAGCCTCCAAAATGGTGACAAATGAGTACCAAAACATTATTCCTTATGTGGCCCAAAACTAGCTTCACTTTGTGAATCCTTCTTAACCATACAATCCTACAGGAAGAAAATGCTGAACACAAGGAATAATTCCATACACTGAGGGAGCTGCAACTTAAATAAAATTAGTCCTCCAGATATTTTTCCCATTTTCCAGTGTTTATGTTTGGGTTACAGAAGTTATTAACCTTCCAGTCTAGGAGTTGACAGAGAGATGATTGCCAAAATGATTTACTGATTTGAGATCTCACCTGCAAAACCAAAATTACTAGTAATGAATGCAGAAACCAAAGCAATTCCCATGAAAATACTACAACAAATAAATAATATTTTCTAGTCTCATTTGAGGTAAAAAGAAATTAAAATATTTATAGCCCACAGTATTGTGTAAAATGTGGAAAAATAATGGTCTTAAAATTTTTCTCCCTCAGCTAGGAAGGGATTTTTAATGCTAGTCTTCAAACATACAGACAAATATCTAACCTAATCAATAAAAATTAACTTAATATCAAATAATTCTAGCAATACTAATCAACAAAAAAAAAAGATAAGCTACAGAAGAAACTAAATTTGTATTAAAAGTTGAGTTAAACACAAATATATTTGAGGTATAACAAAGCCATCAAGGTTTCACTAATGCTACTTTAAAGTCTTCTGACAAACCTAGGTAGTATTTGAACTCTTCCTTTTGGGCAATTTTGCACTTTACATATAAAAATAGCCAAATAGATGTTTTCCTCATTATCCTTCATAACCTTAAAAGGTCTAAGCAGCTCATTACCCAGAAAGTTAGCAATACAAAGGTAGAAAATGGCTACGTGCTCAGCATTATGAGGACACTAAAGCTCTGGTATCATCTTTGCCCACTTGTTTTAAATACAGTACTGCTTTCTAATTGCGTATTTCTACTCAAGATCTGTCCAATTATCACAATGACAGATTTTAATATCATCAAATTTCTACACGCATTAACATCCAAAATGACACTAAAAGCAGCAAAATGCCACTTGCAAAATATGCTGGTAACAGTTCACAAGGTATCCAACACTGACAACTGCATTATTGTCACCCACAGATCATACCTTTGTACTAAATACAAGTTCTCCTTTTACAAAGAAAGTCTTTGAAATTCTGACCATGTTACTGATAAAAACAATGAGCCAGCCAAAGGACTGAAGTACTTGGTGAATTCCTTCACATGAAGGAGGAGAAATAGATAAAGAAGCATTCTGCCTTCCAGGCAAAGTATTTTATTTCACCTAAGTCCTAAAAGAAGGGTTTCATCTACATTGTTTTGAGTACACTTCAGGTAATATTTCTGGGGTGGGACAGACCATGACTTGGAATACACTGCCGTGTCACCCAGACTTCTATTTATGTCCCATAATGAAAATGTGCAGGTAGGCAAACACTTGTACTCCTCTGGCATGCTCCTAAAATGCAAAGTTGGACTCTAATGTTTCAAGTACAATGTAACTGAAGACACTTAGTTCTCCTCAGACTGGAAGTACATTAGACAAAGTGGTTTTTGCACATGCTTCTTCCTGCACAAAGAAACTGATTTTTCTCTACTGGCATGAGTTTCAAAACCTTCCAAACACTGATGTACTAATCAAAATTACTCAATTCACTCCCTACTTCATTAACCTATGAGATTTTTCTATTATTTCTCTCAAGTAAAACTGGCTGTTACATCATCAGAGAAAGATGACATCCACAACAAGGATTACCACAATTGTACAGTTATCAAACTACTGACGTTGTATTAGCTTTGGGCTGGAAAACTGAAACATCATGTTGTACTGTTAAAGAAGTTAAAAATGTGGTCATGATAGTCATTCATTTGCTGAAAATTCCCTCAGTTTTGCTTTGATTATCTTGGTCCCCATCTCAATTCCCTTTATAATACCTCTGTAAAATGAAATAAAAGCATTTTCTCCCTGTGGTATCTTGAGGAAGGAGGGAAGCAATGCAATGGAAAATCCGAGAACTGCATGCACATCTCCCATAGACATGCATCATGCATAGGGCAAAATAAAAATCCAACAGTGAAAATGCGTGAGAGGGAGATGGGAATAAATCTGAAGTTGTACTGTACCACGCTTTATCACAGAAGTAATGGACTAACTTCTCAACTCCTTGCCAATGGCAAAATGGAAAGCAGAGACAAGAAAAAGACAAGGACAGTGATGTCAGAGGACCAAGACAAAACAATGAGCAATTGCCATGACAGAACTGCAACTTCACAATTTTAATTGCAATTACCATGTTCCCCATTGGTTTTTAATCCTCCTTCAAAAAACAAAGGTAGCAACAGAATTTAATTAATGCAGTGCAAACACATTTATAGCAAGACCTGCATGGAATACCTTTGCTCTTATAACTTCAAGGCTTTTAGCAGTTAATCTCTTCCATTCCAAATACTGCAACTAGAATTTGTGTGCATTAGTATATCTGTATTAAAAAAAAATCTCTGCATCCATGCATATGTGTGTTCAATATCTAACCCTGAACAGCAAGGTCATTAAAGACACAGCATTCCATCCTTGGATCATATTGCCCTCATTTTAATAACTCATCTTCCTAACAATTCACTCATGAGTTGGAAGAGAGAACTGACACAGGTTCTTTTTGGAAAGGAAGGGTCACAAACTCTGCTACATAATTCTTTCATTTCCTCGTCAGTACTGCCATCCCTCCTCTCACTGCCTTGGCACAGGATAAGCTGTTAGGTCAAACTAAGCCTGTGCAGAGTCAGCCCTGCTGAAAGGCTGCATCAGAGAGCTCTCATTTTCCACCTCTGGAAAGCATCAATGCTTCAGGCCTTCAATCTGTAGCATTGGCTAATACCTTCTTTTTGAACTTTTTTTCTTTCCCTTTGATCTAGCTGTATTATAACCATATTTCAGCACCAAAATATAGGATTCTGCAGTATGGAGAACGATCTCAAGTAATGACACAAAACAATTGTATTTTTTAAAAGCATCATTCACTACAGCCATGAGGCTAATAAAATAATTGTACCAATTATTTTGGTAGTTGTATAATTGTATCAATTATTGCCACCAATAATGTGACAAAGAATAAATTTTTTTCTGCATAGTCTGTACTGAAACCTCAGCTTGGAAAACTTTATTTTTTCAAAGCAAAATAATTTCAAGTAATATATAACTACATTAAGGCAAATATTTTACCCACAAATATAGATATATGTTCAACAAGCAGATAAATATCACCACATACAAAATCAAGGGGTTTTTGCAAACATAAATTTAGTTAGGTACAAGAGACATTTCTCTTGTAGTTGACTCTGCAGTACTGAAGTTGGGAGGAAAGGAGTTTTCCCTAAAAGACTCTTCTTCATAGAGCTGAACATTCTTGGAGCAAAAATAATTACATAAGAAAGGCAGT